TTAGAAGAATTAAAGTATTATTCTTGTGGTTGTATGAATAGCATTTCTTTCCTTTTCTTTTACTGATCCAGATCAATAGTTTCCATTTTAAATTTAAAGAAGAGTTGCAGCTCACAGGAACAAAGAGAAACATCAGAGTTAAAACACACTGCAAAGAATCCTTTGGTTTTCTTTTGCCTATTCATTGGTGCTGAATCATTTTAAAAACTTGTGTTTTTTCAGTTTTCCATACATATTTTTAAAAGGCATGCAAAGTAAAACTCTTTTCAAGTTGTCAAAGGATCTCATAAATTATATAAACTAGACTTATTTTATAAGACTACTAGATTTCTATTGTGAATACACACTGAGGGACCAACCTATAAGTAGTGAAGAAGAGGGTTTTTTCTGGCAGTTCACTACAAAGTGTAATACTTGCTGTCCAATGCTATTAAGGAGATTATGTTATCTCTTAGAAACAGAGAATACTGTGGTCAAGGGTAAATTAATTTCCTAGGGTACTACAATATTTTTTTTCTTGTAACTATAAACTTTCTAATTGAAGCTTCTCAGGACTGAACGCACTGAAAACCAGACAGATGATGTCTTTCCCCGATTTTATCTTTTTTCTTGACTTATTTTCCTGGGGGAGGGCATGGGAGATTGGAGGGGTATTTTTTGCCAATGTTGGAAATGTATTTGAAAACCATATAGATGCTGAAATGGCATATATGCTAAGCTTGGAGAAGAACAATTTACAGCTTTGGTGTTAGCATAGTCTGCAGGTGTTATTTAAAAAATGAGACAGACTTGGTGTCTGAATAGCTATCAACTTCTGCAGGACTAGTTTGGTAGTGAGCCAGGTTACATTTCCTGGTACATCACATCTATTTCGGAATGAGCTGGCAAGGTATCTCTGTACATAGTTCATTCCTCTGTAAAGAGGTGTGTAAAAATACCTCTGTTCTTAAGTCATTTGGGCTCTCCGTGAAATATTTGATCTGACTTTTGAAAGACATCTGATGGGTGTTCAACAAATCACAACAGAATTCTCTGTGTATGTGTAGTTATGTGTACGTAACTAAATCCATGGATTATGGATTTATAAATCGGCGAACATGGACCACAAGATGATTTTATTGCTGTTATTGTATTGATTTGATTGTTTTAACTAGTAATAACTGTTGATGTTAAATTGTAAATTGTATATTGTATTTTGTGAATTGTTGGGCATCGAATTGTGCCTTTTGTAAGCCGCCCTAAGTCCCCCTTAGGGGGTTGAGAAGGGCGGGGTAGAAGCACTCAAAATAAATAAGTAAAAAAACACACATATTTCTTCTTTTAACTTCAATTAACTTTTTTGTATTTTAATATGTGTTTTATGGGAATATGTTTTCATATGTGTATTTACAGAGTGTTTTTAAATGATTATATGTTTCAGCAATGTGGTAACCTGCCTCATGCTGTGGGGAGAGGCAGGTAAGAAATAAAATTATTATTACTACTATTATTATTCTTTTACAGGCAGCAGAATACTTGAAGAAAATATTCTGTGTTTTACTTGCATAGCCAAATGTCAGTAGTGGAAGTGGTTTGCGTCTCTAGTGGTTTATGGAAGCACAAGTGTAAGAATAGTTTTTTAAAAAAACAAAACAACCCCCCCCCCCCAAAAGTACAAGAATAGTTATGTAGTGTCATTCTGCTGTCAAGAGTTGGGAATAAGTGGGAATTAGAGGACAGTAGAGCCAGCATGTTGTAGTTGAGCCTAGGGTTCAGATCCCAGCTCAGCCATGGAAATGAGTGTCCTTATGCAAGTCACACTATCTTGACCTCTGAGGAAGGCAAAAGCAAATGTTTTGAACAAATGTTGTCAAGAAAGCTCCACGATACCAGTTTCACCTTAGGGTCACTTGGAAATGACTTAAAGGCACACAGCAGCAAATAAGAGGGCAGTCGTCATAGTGAACCTAATAGTAGGCTTTTCCTCCCAACTTACGTTAGGCATCTGAGAAACTGGAACCAAATTGGATAACATACAGGAGAATCTACGTGCCATGAGGACCTTCCTTACGTAATCACAACAGCACAGGATTGGGATTGTGTCTTTACACTTATGCTGCAGAAAGGCTCTTTATGATTCCAATTATTCCTTTTTTAAAGGATTGTCTAAGGACTCAAGCGCAATCAGCACAGCAACCAGTAGACATCATTTGACTGCCGAGGCTGGTTTTGTATACGGAAAGCATGTCTGCAATTGATTTTGAAAAGTTAGCCGAGATAGGTAAATATGTCCAATAATGCCCATCTTTTATATATTTCCAGATGGTTTAGTAAGGATTTTTTTTCTTAAATGAAAATTTTTTGCTAGGACTGTGTAATATATTTGAGTTACAACCACCGCACTGGCGTGTACCTTATTATCAAAAGCTATTAAGGTTGAAGGTTAGTTTAATACACACAGTTTATATGAATTACTGGTATGTTCTCCCTGTGAAATTCTGGGCTATTGGAATATTGCTATCATCACATATTGCAGCACAAATGGGAGTCATTACTCTACACAGACAAGTATTGAATGAGGCTAGAGGCTGCCTGATTGTATGTTATCTTTTGAAGATGTGTCAGCAAACGTAACCATATGGCCATCTCATTAGGAGGCCATCATTTTGAAAAATCAATTTTAGCATATAATAATATAGAAGTGTGACTTTGAATGTATAGGAAGTAGGAAATATATTTGTTGTACATAAATCACACACTGCTACTGGATACAAAGAAATTATTCAATATAACAAAAGCTTCCATAGGCAGGAGATAATGGGATTATAGTATGGTATTAGATGTGTGGGACAAGTAACAGCAAGTTGCTATCTTCTTCACGTCCTTCCTGTGAGCTTCCAGAACATCTGCTTTGGCTTTACTCCTTAGGTTCTTAACATATGAATAGTTCATTAATCGTTCCGTTAAGACAGTATTAAAGGTCTGACATTAAGTCTAGTCGTGTCTGACTCTGGAGGGTGGAACTCATTTCTAAGCCAAAGAGCCGGCGTTGTCCGTAGACACCTCCAAGGTCATGTGGCCAACATTGCTGCATGGAGTGCCATTACATTCCCACAGAAATTGTACCTATTGATCCACATTTGCATGATTTAAAACTTAGGTTGGCAGAAGCTGGGCCTAACGGTGGGAGCTCACCCCACACCCCAGATTCGAACCACCAAACTTTTGGTCAGCACATTCAGCCCCTCAGTTTAACCTGCTGTGCCGCCAGGGGGCCTAAGACAGTATTACAGACATTAATTTCTAAACTACTTCATACTCCTCACACTCCTGCATGAGTAAAAGCTCCTCCCTGCCTCTGCCCCCCAAAATCCTGAGTTAACTTTTACACAAGTCAATGCTGGAATAGGAGCCCTGCACAAACACAGAGACGAAATGTTATAGACAGGAAGTGCTTCTTTCCTTGCCCAAACCGGAGAAAGAAAGGTAGCCCTCCCTCAATTTACTTTTCAGCTCGAATGGCTTTCATCAGCAATGTGGGGTAGCCTGAATAAGCTTTTAAGCAGAGAGACTGAAGTGACATGTTTAATAGCAACTTGCAATAAAAATCCCCTTTTAAAATGCCCACTGCACATCTTTTTGCAAGGAAACTTAAGCAGGAAGCTTTTATAAATAGAGACAGCTTGTTTTCCTTCGTTTTCTATCTCTGCCCCCTTTCCACACAAGCTACATTACTATGCTTTTCTATCATTAATATTTCTTTCCCTGTCTGTATTTCTGTAGATGTAGACACTTTAAGCTCAGTAGTGCAATCTCCACCCCTCCCCATTGCAACCCCTTAAATAAACAGATTGTTTCCTTCTCTTTAGCTTTTCCTAAGAATGTGTTTTTAAAAGGAAAGGAAAATATTTGTTACATGCACCAAAGTTCTGCCCTCAACCTATCCATGAGTGAAAAATCCATAATTTTGACTCCAAAATCTACCCTCAATTTATACACAAGATCAAATTATACATGATTAAATATGGGAATAACAATAGATGTTCATCACTCTTAGTACCTCACTTAATTTTGCCAGTAGAATGTTATTAAATGCTTGTAAAATTTATATCATGTTTTCAGTTATCTATAGAAAGCTTAAACTTATATGCAGTGTCCTATATTTTATGCACCAGAAAATTGGCATTACTATATTTTAAAACATAACATTGGCTAGCAGTTAAACAAAAAAAATTCTCAGATTATTTGCCCTATCCTTTAAACATGCCGACTAATTAACACATGCATTGAAAAACAAAATATTAAAAGTATCACTAATCATTCCAATAATTTAATTCCATTAATACATTTTCATAATTTTGGATTGTCCATTGAACTTGATATGCAGCACTCCAGGACAGACAAAAAGACACTAGAATTCACTGCGGTACAATTTGGTATAAATAGCTTGGGCAACTCCATTATCTAGCAATAATATTTTTGTAAGCAACTACCAACTAGAAAAACAAAGTTATCTTCAGGATCAGAGAGTATATACCAGAGTACTGGGGGGCATAAACTGGAGCAGAGCAGTTGCCTTAATGCCCTGGATGTGGGTTTCCCACTATTTACATGTCGGGTATTTGACATAAAATTCTGAACTGGAAGTGCTTGATGTTAATAACAACAACAACAATAATAGTAATTGTAATAATAATCATACATTGTATTTGTTACCAGCCTCTCTTAATGGCTCGAGGTGGGGTACAACAGAACATATAATTAATATAATAAAATTAATACAATAAAATACTGAGATAAAAACACACCATTATAAAAACATACACCAAGCACAGGGTACAAAATTGACATATAGCAGTAATAGAATGGAAATTCAAATCTCATGATTCAGAGTTGACTGGGGAAGAGATAGTTATACTTAACAGTTACACTGGAGTTGTTTGAAGAAGAGCTTGTGTTTTATTTTTTATTAGGAAAAATGGGAATTCAGTAAATGCTCCTCGATTTTTGTTTTGCCACAGAATTACAGAAAGATGAAGCAGAAAACGCAGCTATGGGTGAAAGCTCATTTGTATCTGTACCAAGCAGAGATACTCAAGTGAGCATGACTCACCCATATTATGATGTGGCAAGGCACAATATCATTCACTTTGCAGGTGAGTTTGCTGAAAACTTGTTCAGCATTTTCTTTTTCTTAATGAATCACTTTGTGCCTCTGCTTCATGTCATTATACCCTGTAATGGTTTTGTGTTTAATGTGAATCAGTCACAAACTTTGGTGAAGACTATTAGTTTTGGTTATAAGGCATATGTTTAAAGTGGAAGCCTGTATGTAACAACAAAACTCATGGCTGGAAACTTCAATCAGGCCTTTGAGCTTTTTCAGACGAATTTCTTACATCTTCTGCATTGAGAATTGAAATACCGAGAATGCTACTAGTATGTGTGATGAGATGACACTTAACCTTTTCAGAAATAGATCTCTCTCCAGTTTAAAAAATTATACTGTTACATCCATTATATGATAAGTGGTGTTCACTTACCTAGAAATGAAAATGATGTACATCGTGATGCTATTCATGCAGAATTTATATAGGTTTAATTCTCCTTTAACAGATTCAAAAATATGCACTTTTATTAGGTTTTTATAACAGCCCATTTCTATCATATCTATTAAATAATGTAGCTGTCCAAATAATGTAGCTGTGCCTATACCATTTTTTCCTGCAGAGAGGTAGATTTTCAGATGTTTGTAGTTATGTTAATTCCACAGTTTAACAGATTTTGAATCATTCACTAAAACATTCATCTTGTTGAACACACTGCAAGCTTGCTGTGACATTCTTTTCACACCTTTAATGTTTTCCTAGATTGAAATCAGTTTAATTGTATTCATTTCTGTCGTTAACATTTATGATTAATTTACACAAAAGGAAACACTGTGTAAGAGCCTCTCAAAGTGTGAAATGTAAGGACTTAAGATTTAACTCAACATAAGGTATACAATGTGACTTTCTCATTTTTTCATGTTTTCATCTGTCATAGACATTTAATGAAGGCAGTGGGTGTCGGGACACTGACGCCTTAAAGGGCCAGACTCAGATTTAGTTCCAAAATAGAGTTTATTAAAGTAAAAAAGACTCAGAGACACCTAACTCAGTGTCTCTGGTCAAAACACAAAGGTAACAACCAGTCCTGGTGCAAAAAGGAAACTGAAGCAATAATCCGGATTATCCAGAGAAAAGAACTGGATTAAAACAAAACGCTCCGAAAGTCACACAAAATTGCACAGCGAGCAAACAGTTAACAAACAAAAGAGCCGCAGCGAAGAAAGTGTAGTCAAACGAAGTCCGAGGTCGTAGTAAGCCGAATTCCAAAGTAGCGAAGTTCCAAAGTCCACATAGGTAGCGTCGTAGTCAAACCGGTCCGAAGTCAAAGAAGGGGAAATCCACACTCACGAGAATCCAAGCCAAGTCGAAGCACACACGAACAGAAGCAGCAACCTGTAGATCCAGTACCCAGTGCCAACACGAGACAGGCAGCGACAAGAACCCAATGCACGGACATAAACCAACACCTTGCCTTCTGCAAAGATTCCCCATTTCAGAGCCTACTTTTATGTTACACATCATCATCAGAAGATGAGCTGTCCTCCGCCCCGTCATTATCTCTTGCAGCTGTTCTTGATTCCACATGTGAACTCCTACTCCCATCCCTCCAACTTCTCCATCTTCTGTCAAGACTTAGATCCCCCAAGACTCAGATGTATTTCCCGGTTGCCAATCCTCATTACCAGAGAACCCCATAAATGTGTCACTAGATATCGGCTTCACACATACATCTTGTACCTCTTTTACCTTAGTCCAGTCCAATGTGTCATCCCAATCTTCATCACTCTCAGACCCATCACTCTCAGAGAAACCCACAAATGATTCTTCATCTGTGGGAGCAGTAAGTATATCCCAGATCCTCTTCCTCTGTTGTATTTCCTTCCTCTCCCTCACTCATTGACCATTCGTCTCCAGAAAACCCATTGAATGAGTCTTCGTCGGTAGGTGTCATAAGTATATCCCGGATCCTTTTCCTTTGCTGTTCCTCATCTGACTCCTGCTCCCGAGTACCCCTTTTCCCCTTCTGGCACCCATACTACTGCTTGCAATGTTATTTACAGGCTCTACTACAACACTGGGTCTGGGGAAGAACTGGAGTTATGTGTTATGTACTTCCCATGTCCCAGATCCTGCAAGGAAGACTCCAGCAATACATGGAGCGAGAGTTGCCAGATGTTCAAGCTGGGTTTAGAAAAGGCAGAGGAACAAGAGACCACATTGCCAATATCCACTAGATAATGGAGAAAGGCAGGGAGTTTCGGAAAAACATCTATTTCTGTTTTATTGACTATTTGACTGGGTGGATCATAATAAATTGTGGCATGTTCTTGGTGGTATGGGGATACCAAGTCACCTTGTCTGTCTCCTGAGGAATCTGTACAAGGACCAAGTAGCAACAGTAAGAACTGACCATGGAACAACAGACTGGTTCAAGATTGGGAAAGGCATACGGCAAGGTTGCATACTCTCACCCAACCTTTTTAACTTGTATGCAGACATCATGCGATGTGCGGGGCTTGATGAATGCAAGGCTGAGGTGAAAATTGCTGGAAGAAACATTAACAACCTCAGATATGCAGATGACACCACTCTGATGGCCGAAAGCGAGGAGGAGCTGAGGAGCCTTCTAATCAAGGCGAAAGAAGAAAGCGCAAAAGCCGGGTTGCAGCTAAACGTCAAAAAAACCAAGATTATGGCAACAAGAATGATTGACAACTGGAAAATAGAGGGAGAAACCGTGGAGGCCAAGACAGACTTTGTATTTCTAGGTGCAAAGATTACTGCAGATGCAGACTGTGGCCAGGAAATCAGAAGACGCTTACTTCTTGGGAGGAGAGCAATGTCCAATCTCGATAAAATAGTAAAGAGTAGAGACATCAGACTGGCAACAAAGATCCGCCTAGTCAAAGCATGGTATTCCCTGTAGTAACCTACGGATGTGAGAGCTGGACCTTAGGGAAGGCTGAGCGAAGGAAGATAGATGCTTTTGAACTGTGGTGTTGGAGGAAAGTTCTGCGAGTGCCTTGGACTGCGAGAAGATCCAACCAGTCCATCCTCCAGGAAATAAAGCCCGACTGCTCATTGGAGGGAAGGATACTAGAGACAAAGTTGAATTACTTTGGCCACATCATGAGGAGACAGGAAAGCCTAGAGAAGACAATTATGCTGGGGAAAGTGGAAGGCAAAAGGAAGAGGGGCCGACCAAGGGCAAGATGGATGGATGGCATCCTTGAAGTGACTGGGCTGACCTTGAGGGAGCTGGGGGTGGTAACGGCCGACAGGGAGCTCTGGCGTGGGCTGGTCCATGAGGTCACGAAGAGTCGGAGACGACTGAACGAATGAACAACAACAACTTCCCATGTCCCAGAGCAACATCTGTAAGAAAACTCTACTGTGGAATTGAATTTGAACCTCTATATTTAAGAACAATTTCCACCAAAATTTAAGATCGGCATATTTTAAGGTATATACCTCTTATTCATACAATACCTAGTTGATTTTGGTTTTTCCGGTGACCCCATACCCCTAGTATCTCTGTTTCAATCAGACACTAGAGGCGAGGACATCGAATCAATAGCTTTAATTTGCAGAGTAAAGCTATCGGATGAGCAAAAAACAAAAACAAAAAATGCCATAAGGCTGAGGTGCAACTTGCCCCTTTTATAATACAAGTCCTTAAAGTTTCTAAGACATGCGCACACAAACTCCCTCCTTCCATCCATACCTCTTCTTCCTTTGTTCTTCTCTCTGTGCCTCTTATCTATCTTCATTCCCCCTTTTCTTCCCTCTTTCCTGCGCTCTCCTTCCTTTTTCTCTAGGTCATAAAAGTCCTTCTCTTTGAACCTTTTCCCCACTTCCCTCAATTTCCTATCTAAAACCCCTGCTGTGCTGATGTTTGACTGGCAGAGAATTTCAGCTTTCTTTTTTGACTCCTCCAATTCCCCCTTCCTGTCCGTCTTAACCTTCTTTGGCTTTCTTAGTAAAATTCCATTCTCTTCATTCTCTTCAGGTGATGACAGGTTGGGCAGAAAAGTGATAGCTTTCAGTTGCTGCCGCATGCCTCCTTCTTACCAGCTTAATCATATTCGGCTATTAGAGTAAGTCATGCTCTCTTCATTCATATGACTTTCTGTTGGGGAAATGTCCAGTCAGGTCTGAGCTGTCTTCTACATTGGCAATGTATTAAATGGATTGGCAAGACAATATGTATGAGGATACAGTTTTCTGCTTCTATCAGTGGGTTTGTGGACTGAGTATTGTTTTCATGACTGTTATGATAATTGGTTATAATTAATTGCTATTGTTTTAACTCTGTATGTATTTATGGTTTTATACTGTGTTATTGATTGTGGCATCAAATTGCTGCCTTTGTTAGCCGCTCTGAGTCCCCGTCCCCCCCGGGGGTTGAGAAGGGCGGGGTAAAAATGCTGTAAATAAATTAATATTAGCAGGTAAAGAAATAATGACATGCCCCCACCCCAGTGGCGCAGTGGGTTAACCCACTGAACTGCAGAATTTGCTGACCGAAAGGTTAGCGGTTCGAATCCAGGGAGCAGGGTGAGCTCCTGCTGTTAGCCCCAGCTTCTGCTAACCTAACAGTTCGAAAACATGTAATTGTGAGTAGATCAATAGGTACCACTTGGGTGGCGCTCCATGCAGTCATGCTGGCAACATGACCTTGGAGGTGTCTATGGAAAACTCTGGCTCTTCGGATAAGTAATGAGCACCCCCCCTCCCCCCCAGAGTCAGACATGACTAGACTTAATGTCAGGGGAAACCCCTTAAATAATAACATGTCATACTTTGCCTTCCTCATGCTGTTCTATGTATTTAAATTATCTTTGAATGAGCTTGCAACACTGCCAATACTTTTAGAAGTGGGCAAGCATATATATTTGACAGTTCAGATTGGGTCTAAATCTTCATGCCCAATTAAACATCAGTATATGCCATTAGGTAATTGGACATCACCAAACATATTCAACATAATTAATATGTGAAAATATATTGCAAGTTGATTTGTGGCTTCTCTTTTTCAGATATTTAAAGTATACACTGGATCAGTATGTGGAAAATGACTACACAATTGTCTACTTTCACTATGGTCTGAACAGTCAGAATAAACCTTCCCTGAGCTGGTTGCAAAGTGCCTACAAGGAATTTGACAGGAAGTAGGTTTTCTTAATCCTGGTAAAGTCATTGTTCTCAAAGCACAGTTCAGCCAAAAAGAACTTTCCATTCAGAATTGATCACATGTGAATCCTTTCATTCATTTAACTTGAACAAGACTGATTTTTATTGTCACAGTAACCTTGTTACCACAGTAACCTTCCAAGGAAATGCAAAATCAGAAAAATAATGAGTGAACCTCACAGCTGTGTAGTTTAGAAACTTAATCCAGATACAGCATATAGCCACACGGCAATTTCTCTAGTTTGTCAAAGAGACAAACTTTGGCTCATAAGAGTTAATAGAAGAAGGAGAAAGCTCAACATATACCTATCTTTTTAAAATATTGTTTTAAAATAAGTTGTAATTCTATTTTGCATGTTCTGGAAACTTGAAACTGTTACTGAAATTGTTTCTGGGATAAGGTATAGAGAACTGTGATCCAGATAAAACCACATGCTAACTGCAAAATGGATTAGAAACAGAACTGCCAGATTAAACTGCCAGATTAAACTGGAGAAAAGTGCCTTTTTTCTTTTTTCATAATGTGTAATACCGAAGGGTTTTCTTGTCCAATATATATACCCAATGCTCCAGATGAAGTGATGTGTGTGGCTACACTGATTCTAGTATGTGGTGACCATGTCTGATTTTACTTTATTGTTAGATATATGCTGCATTTACAAGGCTATAACCAGCATTGCAAGGAGGGGGAAAAACAGTCTTTGACTTCTTTGAGTTGATGTGATAGCAGCATGAGGTGTTGAATGGTGATACATTGACATTCGGAAGAAATTCTTCTTTTCATCTCCTTTCTGGTAAACAAAAAGATGACTGTATATTTCAGGCCAAAGGGTCAAAATCAAGGAAAGATTATATCAGCATCACAGATGGAATCCCCAGCAACTTCAACATGGAAAGTATAGTGCGACGTTAACATCTTCAGTTTTTCTTTATAATGTTAGCAAAAAGAAGGGCTAGAAGTCTTGAAATCGTTTGCAGAAAATTGCAACATCTTTCTTACTTTGCTGGGTGAGATACCATCATGCTATTAATATATCTATTCTGAACTTTTCTCCTGCCACTGGTAATTAATTTATTCAGAGACTGCTCTGATTTAGCTGTTCTGGAGAGGATGCTAAGCAAGTCATGCTCTAGAACTGCCTACTGTGAGTGACTTGGAAGAACAAGGAACATAAAAAGACTTGTAAGAATAAGATACACTCCAGGATTTGTTACCCCTCTTCCTTTGGGTTAATCTATGCAGGCAGTCCCCAAGTTATGAACAAGATAGTTCCTGTTGGTTTGTTCTTAAGTTCAATTTATATGTAAGTTGGAACAGGAATACTTTTAAAGTGTAACTCCAGCAATATATATATATGGATAGCATAGGGAAGGGTTAACGCCCCTGTGATGTTTGTTTTGTGGTTTGTGCTCCGGTTCAGAAGATCTCATCTCTCTTTCTGTCCCTGTGATAATTGAATTTTGAAAAAAGTGGTTTGTTGTGGAAACTAGGATTGGTGATAAGGCTACAGTGGAGACACCTTTTTCCCCATGATAACTTTTTCAGAAGTGAATTTCGCTTCCAAAGGAAGATTTCTCTCACTTCATGTTGTCTCACCCCTGTTCTTAACTATGAGTCATTTGTAAATTGGATATTTTTAACTTGCCTGTAATACCAATTGTCCATTAAGGTTTTCCATATGTTGGCCTGCTGAACAAATCCAATCCTCAAGTTGTGTTGCCTTCAACAGTTGTGCAGGCCAGTTAAAAATTCATACAGTTCTGTCCAGTGTGTATGCTGCTTAGCTTAACAAAAATGCCAAAAGTCTGAATCTAGTCTGTCAGTATTGCTTTAGACTGGCGATTCTTAACTTTTCTTAACCCTTTTGCTAGTTGTAACGTCATGGAGTAGACCACGCTCAATCGTCCTTTGCCAGTCAAATGAAAACCACAGTTCTGGTCTCAGAATATAGCAACGGATAGTTTTATCAACATAGACACGTCTTTAGATTAAATTTAAAGATTATTAAAAGTAATGTTTTACAACTTCTCCACAATTTCAATATCTGTTGTTTTAACATTGCGCCACATTTGTTGAAATGGTCATATTCAGCTAATTCAGCAATTCAGTTTTTCCACTGTGTCATAAAACCATATCTGACATCCTTACCAACCACTGTATCCAGAATATGCTACATCATCATCATCAATATCCTGGTTTTTCTCTCTAAAAATAGACTCAAAGTGTCTCAGAATAAAACCAATGCAATACAAATAAAACCTTAAAATATATAAACATTAAAATGGAATTAAACATAAATATTATTAGAAATAAACAGTTGAACCCCTTAAAACAAATCAAAAACCTATTCATAGCTAAAACCACAACAATCCCTGACTTGATATTTAAAAACGCCTTTGTTAAAACCCTGCATGAATGAAAAGATTTGTCATTTGGGAGTTGTAGTTGCTGGGATTTATAGTTCACCTACAATCAAAGAGCACTCTGAACTCCATCAACGATGGAATTGAACCAAACTTGGCACACAGAACTCCCATGACCAACAGAAAATACTGGAAGAGTTTGGTGGGCATTGAGCTTGAGTTTGGGAGTTGTAGTTCACTTACATCCAGAGATCTTGCATGTTCCAAGGTGGGCAAACCAGACATTCTCCATATCACCACTGACAAAGAAACAGCAAGAAATACTGTTTACCCACAAGCATAAAGAAATTACATATATTAGAAACCAACACTTTCTCATTACTTTATTTTCCAGATCAACAGACTGGGCCACAGCAACAAATCAAGCAGGGGACAGCTAGTACTATATATTAATGAACATATCACACATGCACCAAGGCATCACCACAATAATAATGTTTTTAAATGCATAAAATGCAGTTACATTGGGGCTCAATTACTCATATTAAAATACAGTTATTAAAATAAAATAAAATGCATATGTGCGTAACACATTTATGCCCAATTTTAAAATTAAAATTATTTTAAAAATCTGAACAGTAGTACTGTTGCAGTAAAAGTAATTATCTCAGGACAAAAACTACAAAAACAAAAAGCTAAGCATTGAATAAAATGTCCAGAACCATTTAGTTGAATGTGGCTGAATCCTATGCAGCCCTTTGGGCAGTCTGTTGTGTCCATTGGGAAATCTCCCAGAAAGGCAGTTGGACATATCATCATAGCTCACCAAAACTGTCTGCAGCAGTAGATCCCCAGAACAATAAAGGAGCCAAAGATCTAGTGGTGTGAACTTCTGGGCTTTGAAGCTTACTCATCCATACAGTAGAAGTTGCATAAGTAATGTAATGATGTGGTTGAGAAACTGAACTATATGTTAGGAACCCCCCCCCCCCCCTTTCTCTTTTGTTTGTCTTGGGATTTCTGCTGCTATCTATTCCTTCTAAGGTCCAGGAAATACCACAATATCTGCTTTGAACTGGGTTATCTGAGTCCACACTGTTATATATTTCAGTTTAAAGCAGAAAATGTGGGATTTTATTCAGCAGTGTGGAAGAGGCTGTAGTCTCTCCTATGTGTGAAAGTATAATCATTTTCATTGCTTAAAGCACCTGATATTGTTCCAACAATTGTGTACATTCAGTGTTATAGGAATAACAATACTGGCTTATATCTGAATGTGTGACTCAGTGCATTTGCATGGTCGATAGGAGAATCAAATTCCAGTCTCCAGAGTCCTAGTCCTACTCTCAAACCAGTACACCACGCTGGCTCTCTCCCAAATACTGCGAATTTCTCCCAAATGATGTGACTATATCCCAAATAAGACATATTGTTGGTTAATCAAGAAAATGTATTAAATGACCTATTTACAACATTCGGACTGTACAGTGATTCGATATCTGTTTGGAAAAATCCCTCCAAGTATCTTTAGAACTACAAAGCAAAGTATTAGAAAACAAATACCTCAAGACAGATTCGAAAACGTTCCTTCATTTTTGAAGCTGAAAATAATGAAATAATAATTTCTTGTCCTTGGTTTCTAAAGGTTTCCAAAGTCTTTTTTCTCTTTTTTACTTTCGCTATTTCCCACACTCTTTCTGTCATTTAGAGATTTCCCCCCCATCATTATGATACCCACAGAACAATTCAGATAGTTGTTTGTAATATAATAGGCATATAATCTTTGTCGACTTCAGTTCCATCAGAACTGACCATTTCCTCTTTTCATTTTACATTCAATTTCCTAGGCACTAGATGTACTTGAAAGGAATACTATATTATGTTTCAGTAATAAAAACTTTATTCATTCAATTGCAGCTCCTCTGCACTGCAGCATGTAGCATTCAATTTAACAATTTAATTTTCTTTTCTTCAGGTATAAGAAAAATCTGAAAGCAGTCTATATTGTACATCCAACCAATTTCATAAAAATCATTTGGAACATCTTTAAACCTCTAATCAGGTACATAGTGATATGCGGAAAACAATTTTGTGTTGCGCTGAAGGGCAGTTTATAGCTTTCTTTCTTTTTGTTGTGAAATGGATTTTTAGAAACATCTGCATTACAGAAGATGCAAGATAAAGCCATGATAATTACATTTTCTTTCTCTTTCTTCTTTTGCCTTCTGTTCTCTTCTGAGTTCTAACTCAACCCAGTAATGACAAACAAGATTTTTTTGCCTGCATTACCTGATATTCCCTATTCCTGAGCATACTTGCTTGAGAGTCAATCTTGCTTTACTTTTGTGGAGTTGTTCTTAAGATTGCAGTCATAGAACACAAAGTCCTCTAAGCAGGCTCCATGCCCATTCTGTACTGAGACCTGGTTGACTAAGAGACTGAAGTGTGTGATAGGGGATCTCTGAACCACTGATCGGCCTGCAGAAGAGAAGGTTGAGGGAAGAATCATAGAATCAAAGAGTTGGAAGAGACCTCATGGGCCATCCAGTCCAACCCCCTGCCAAGAAGCAGGAATACTGCATTCAAATCACCCCTGACAGATGGCCATCCAGCCTCTGTTTAAAAGCTTCCAAAGAAGGAGCCTCCACCACACTCCAGGGTAGAGAGTTCCACTGCTGAACGGCTCTCACAGTCAGGAAGTTCTTCCTCATGTTCAGATGGAATCTCCTTTCTTGTAGTTTGAAGCCATTGTTCCTTGTCCTAATCTCCATGGAAGCAGTGAACAAGTTTGCTCCCTCCTCCCTGTGGCTTCCTCTCACATATTTATACATAGCTATCATATCTCCTCTCATCCTTCTCTTCTTCAGGCTAAACATGTGCAGCTCCTTAAGCCGCTCCTCATAGGGCTTGTTCTCCAGACCCTTGATCATTTTAGTCGCCCTCCTCTGGACACATTCCAGCTTGTCAATATCTCTCTTGAAGACATGAGAGCCAGACTTCCTTTATGTTGCCCGGGAGACTAGGACTCGAAGCCATGGGTTCAAATGACAGGATAGGAGATTCCACCTGAACATTAAGAAGAACTTCCTGACTGTAAGAGCTGTTCAACAGTAGAAGTCTCTGCCTTGGGGTGTAGTGGAAGCTCCTTCCTTGGAGGCTTTTAAATAGAGACTGAATGGCAATCTGTCGGGGGTACTTTGATGGTTCGTGGAAGGGGGTTGGACTGGATGGATCAGGTATTCCCTTCCAAGTCTAGGATTCTATGTACAAATACAATTCACTGGTCAATACTAGGCAATTATTCTGAAGTGAACAGAAAATTTTCTAGATTGTATTAATAATTGGGTTGTTGTAGGTTTTTCAGGCTATATGGCCATGTTCTAGAGGCATTCTATCCTGACGTTTCGCCTGCATCTATGGCAAGCATCCTCAGAGGTAGTGAGGTCTGTTGGAGTAGGAAAATGGGTTTATATATCTGTGGAATGACCAGGGTGGGACAAAGAAATCTTGTCTGCTGGAGCTAGGTGTGAATGTTTCGACTAACCACCTTGATTAGCATTTGATGGCCTGGTAGTGCCTGGGGCAATCTTTTGTTGAGAGATGATTAGATGTCCCTGGGTGTTTTCCCTCTGTTGTTTTGCTGTTGTAATTTTAGAGGGTTTTTTTTTTTAAAATACTGGTAGCCAGATTTTGTTCATTTTCATGGTTTCCTCCTTTCTGTTGAAATTGTCCACATGCTTGTGGATTTCAATAGCTTCTCTGTGTAGTCTGACATGGTGGTTGTTAGAGTGGTCCAGCATTTCTGTGTTGTCAAATAATATGCTGTGTCCAGGTTGGTTCATCAGGTGCTCTGCTATGGTTTCCAGTATTAAAAAACTGTTTAAAAAACTCTAAAAGAATCCTTTGTCCCACCCTGGTCATTCCACAGATATATAAACCCATTTTCCTAGTTCCAACAGACCTCACTACCTCTGAGGATGCTTGCCATAGATGCAGGCGAAACGTCAGGAGAGAATGCCTCTAGAACATGGCCATATAGCCCGAAAAAACCTACAACAACCCAGTGATTCCGGCCATGAAAACCTTCGACAATCTATTAATCATGTTTAGTAAGTTCTCTAAAGGCACTGCTTGAATGTGTATAATATCGTGATTTGAGGGGGAGCACCTTGTTAGCTGTCATAAATGCTTAATTGAACATAGAAGAGTGTGCTGGAAAACCTAAATGGATTTATGCATCAAGTGTGTTAGTTCTGGAAAAGTGCTTCCGTTCTAACAGGAACTAGTTATTCTGGCTAATCAGTTATTTCCAATTAAAGAATGGAATTTACCTACTTTCATCGCAGTCTTCCTCTAGAGGGAGCCTATTCATATACAGTTAGTTTTTTCAGTGATATTCTGAATAATAAAGAGCTCTTCGATCATGCAGAAATGAGAATATTAGGTGTTGAAATTCACCATGAAAGACAAAAAATCCCACTGACAAAAATGTAACTCCCCAAGGATTTCATTTTACCTCTATTATTTGTACACTGAATCAGTGGTATCAGGTGCACCCTTTAAAAGGGGGAAAGAGGATTGAATTTTACTCCGAGTTTCACTCTTAAAAAGAACGGATAGTGTAACTCTTGAGTAACATCCCTCTAGTAGTAGGCAGGTGGTGAAACCATGTGGACATGGGAATAATGAGATTTCTTCCCCCTTGCAGGAAATGTTGTTGGCCATGTTTACAGGGGTGGGAGCCATTTAAATCATATTTATCATGCCATTCCTACCACCAGACACAAGAAAACAAGAACGGACCAGACAACAGGAAAGCAATTCCTAGACTGTTGTGGGAATGATAAATTGTGTCTGTGGCTGGATCCAAATTGCCATATAATGCAGTTTCAGAATGCGGCGTTGCTGCATTGAACTGGATTACATGAAGTGTAGATTTATATCATCCGGTTCAATGTAGTTAAACCACATTCTGAAACTGCATTATATGTCAGTGTAGATCCAATCTGTGAACTCTCGTCATGCATGATTTCATTCTTTCATGCAAAGCAATAAGCAAACTACTTTGCCAGCAATATTCCTTTTGAGTTGGGGCAAGGAAGCTGACGATTGGCATAAAATTTAGCAAAATATACTCTTTCATTCATTCTAATGCTTCATTAAAATAATGCTTTGTTGGAGTTCCCAAAACAATGGGCTCCATATGTATGCAGACAACAGCTACGTTCAGATAGAATGCAGTCATTTTTTATTAAAAATTAGATTTCAGTATGTATGGAAATGAATGTGTTTTGTGGCACAGTTGCCTCAGTCATCGCTCAATGAATTGTATTGATATTTGGATTTTGTAAGGCATTTCTGGAGATAAAAGCATGCATTTCATCCAGTCCTAAATTAGTTCTCCTGTATTTTACAGTCACAAGTTTGGGAAGAAGGTCATCTATCTGAATTATTTAAGTGACCTGAGAGACCATCTTAAATATGACCAGCTGAAAATCCCTGAAGAGGTTATTCGGTATGTAATACATTGAAAAATTGCAGTAGTCTCTTTCCTGCATAAGTGATTTTATGTGAAAAAGTTTTCCTTTATTACTTTACAGATTACAAATTTTAACCAGTTAATATTGTGATGTGCTTGCATTTGTTTTTGCTTGTAATTCCACATCAGTATTAATAACAAGGGATTGCAAGCGAATCATTGCTGTTTCCTCTGATTATTAATTGGAGATAATGGAGGATGCTTCTCCTTGTTAGCATTTGGGCATGGGGCTTACATGGACATTTTGTAGGGCAGATTAGGCCATAGGTTTGCCGTTATTTCTCTATAGTTATAGAAAAATGGCAGAATTGCAGTCATGTGTACTTTCCCCTGTTCTTTGTAAAGATCAGAAGGATTAGTTCTAACATTCATAGGAGTTGTAAATTTTTAGAAATTAAGCAGAGGGAATAATATATAACCTAGATTTTCCAACATATACCAATAGTTGGAACTATAGAGATGTGATCTTTTTGTCAGAACAGCATAAATGTTTTCATTTGCAATAATTGTAGGACCATAAGAAATGTATCTTTGCTGTCTGTTGAGCAGTTCCAGATCACACTATTTTGTACACATTTGAGCCACTGAGGAACATCACATAGACTCGCATAGAAGAGTGAGAAAGGAATGCAATTGGCATGTTTTGATGATATGTTATATTATGAGGAACATCACATAGACTCACATAGAAGAGGGAGGAAGAAATGCAAGTGATACGTTTTGATGGTATGTTATGTTCTGATATACATAAAAAGATTATTGATCTGATTGATTAAAATTTGAGGATTCGAGCTAAAATTCTTTGAGCTGAAAAAAAATTAAATGAATTTATTTTCTTCCACTAGGCATGATGAAAAACTTCGGATTAAACAAAAGAAGAAACCACCTACCACAGTGAAGATTCCTCCACCAAGGCCACCGCTCCCGACCCAGCAGTTTGGAGTCAGCCTCCAATAGTAAGCCTCACAATTTCAAAGCAAGCCGGGTTGGGGGGGGGGGTAGCAATGGAGTTGTGCTGATGGAAGAGAACAGCAAAAGGGTTATGGAAGAATACTACAGTATGTCAGCTAACAGAATACCTTATGCACAGACCTGGAAAAATAATTTTATTTGAGAAATTGATTACTCAAGCTTAATGATTTATCTGAAATAGATAACCTTCCTGTTTTGATTAAAGAAAAATTACTGTATATACTTGAGTATAAGCTGACCCGAATATAAGCCGAGGCACCTAATTTTACCATTAAAAAACTGGGAAAATGGATTGACTCGAATATAAGCCGAGGGTGGGAAATGCAGCAGCTATTGGTAAATTTCAAAATAAAAATAGATACCAATAAAATTATATTAATTTAGGCATCAGTAGGTTAAATGTTTTTGAATATTTACATAAAACTGTAATTCAAGATAAGACTGTCCAACTCTGATTAAACCATTATTCTAACCTTCTTCAATGTAAATATGCTTACATGTRCTCCAATAATAATAYWTAGAGTAAAATAATAGRAATAATAATAATAATAGAGTAAAATAATGGAATGTAATAATAACAGTAATAAGAGTAAAATAATAAATGTAATAATAACAACAATAATAAAATAATAAATGTAATAATAATAATAATAATAARAACAACAACAATAACAAAGTAAGATAATAAATAATATTGACTCGAGTATAAACCGGGGGAGACTTTTTCAGCCTAAAAAAAGGACTGAAAAACTAGGCTTATACTCTATTATATTATAACTTTTATTTGTACCCCGCTAGCATCTAGTATATACAGTATTACATATTTATTCAATTATAAGACGCTATTGATTGTAAGACATACTCTTTCATTACCACCACCAGCAGCAAAAAAATACCTATGATTTTAAGACACACCCCATTTTTAGAGATATTTATATAGGGAAAAATGTGACATAATTAGTATAACTTAAATACATATATGAAGTGTAATTCACTGATAAAATAGGGAGAGGTAGAATTAAAGAGTTAAATTTCTTGGAAGTAATCTTTGCTGTGTGCCTTTCTTTTATTTTTAATAGTATATAGAGATATGTGTTGTAAGTTTTCTGTTAAACTTTTGTATTGTGTAGTTTGTGTTTGTTCCATGTGTTACTCAATTTGTATTTTATATAGTTCTTTAAAAATTATTACCTCTAATAAAACCTTCATAGTGACTCTTTGAATCCAAAAAATAAAACTTACATCAAATTGTGTCTCTCTAGTTCAACCACTACTCTGCAACACGAGCAATGCAGCCCATGTTCAAATTTCCATTGGCCCACAGCCTCTGCCACAAAATCAACAATAACCAGCCCACCAGCACTATTGACCACAATATAAAATACATGTGTACAAAAAGCTATTTTATATTTCACCAGAAGATCAGTAGACCTGTAGCCGCAGTCTTGCCATGTTGCCCTTATTTGATCCTTTCCAGCCCATTTCTAAAATGGCGACTAACTAAAAAAGGAAAGTTGACATCAAGGGCCGCCACTTCTAGGAGAAGAGGAAATTGCACTATTTTTTCACTAAAATATGAGAGTGTCTGCCTAATTTGCAAAGAGACTGTGGCTGTTTTCAAGGAATTCAGTATCAAGAAGCACTACCAAATGAAATATGCTAACTATGACAAGCAAATTGGAAATTGAAGCAACTGGAAGCTTCTTTTTTCTCTTTTTTTGTGTTAAGAGTGACTTGAGAAACTGCAAGTCGCTTCTGATGTGAGAGAAGCTTGGTCATCATCTGGCCGTCTGCAAGGACGTTGCTCAGGTGACGCCCAGATGCTTTACTATCCTTGTGGAAGGCTTCTCTCATGTCCCTGCATGGAGAACTGGAGCTGACAGAGAAAGCTCAACCCGCTCTCCCCGGATTCAATCCATTGACCTCTTGGTCAGCAGTCCTGCCAGCACAAGGGTTTAAACCACTGCGTCACCAGGGGTTCCTAACTGGAAGCTGTTTTAATGGCACAGCAGCCCTTTTCATAAAAACCAGTGAGTCAAATGAAAATGCCACAAAGGTGAGCTACCGTGGTGGCAACTCTGATTGCCAAGTGCTGCAAAGCTTTTACTGAGGGTGAATTTATTAAAGACTGCGTGATGAAAATGGTGGAGCAAGAGTTTGCCAGTGTTTGCCTGGCTCGTAACATTGTGGTACAAAGAATTGAAGACATTTCATCTGATATTAAGAGACAGAGGCAAAAGGAGTGGAGTTTGACTTTTTTTTTGGTTACCCTGTGATGAAAGCACAGATGCACCTGACACCGCTCAGTTACTGAGTCATTTCATTGTTCTTCAGGCTCTGGAGGACAAGAGCTGCTTGACCACCAGAGTCTTAAGGACCAAACAAGAGGAACAGATTTATTTGTTTCTGTTTGTTCCACTGTAGATGACATGAAACTACAGTGGAATAAAGTCCATAAGGATTTATCTACTGAGAAACACTTGATGTTGCCATGGATGATTAGCCCAGTTTCTCATTTCATGGTGACCTAAATGCACCCCAAACTCTCCTATTATGAACCATTACAAAGCTTAAGATCATCAGGAGAGGCCCTGCTCTCAATCCCACCACTCTCGCAAATGTGGTTGTTGGGGACGAGAGACAGGGCCTTCTCGGCAGTGGCCCCCCATCTGTGGAACTCTCTCCCTAAAGATATCAGGTTGGCCACCTCCCTCCTGTCCTTAAGAAGACACCTGAAGACCTGGCTCTGGGGCCAGGCGTTCGACTAGAGGCCAGCAGCAATAGGAAAAGGAAATTTGAATTTTGCTACATGGATTCTCCCAGCTCAGCTTGGTTTTACTGGCAGGTTAATCTATTAATTTATTGTTAAATTTTACTGATGATGCTGTACAATGTTTTAAAATGGTTTTATTGTGAATTGTAATTTTTATGATATTTATGCTGTTAGCATCCTCTGATGCTCATGTAAGGCCATGCTGAGTCCCCCTTATGGGGAGAAGGGCGGGATATAAATATATTAAATAAATAAATAAATAAATAAATATTACTGCATATTCAAAGTGTTTTCCCCAGAAGCTTATTCATCATCCGAGCCTTCTCTAGACCTCAAGATCCAGCTGTGCTGGATTTACCTATGGATACTAGAAATGGGATTTTTTCTGTGAGCAGACCTGAAAATATGAATAGCCAGAACTGGAAAAGAGGGTGCTTGGAGGTGCCTACGTTTCCTGATGTAGCCAGTCAGTTAATGAATGTTCAAGGATGATATGGATGAAAAATAAGATGGTGTGCTGTGGCAGTCTAAATCCTATCTCTTTTACTTTTCTCAACAGCCTCTCACTTAAGAACAAAGGTGAAGTAATTCCACCAGTAATGAAGCACACAGTAGCTTATTTGAAGCAAAAAGGTAAGATTTGACTTCAATTTCAAATAAATGACACAGTCTTAGTTTCAGGATAGAGTAGCACGACTGTGTATGTGGAAACAAATTTCAGCCTTCATATTGGATGTGAAACAACAGAGATCCTACTACTCCACACCAGGTAGCTGTAGACAGTGTGGATTTTTATTTTTTTAAACTACTAAAAGTAGTTTGTGTCCTACTTTTCAAGGAGAGACAGGTGAAAAAAACAAAACGGAAGACCTGATGAGACCCTGTCCATAGCTGAATTAGGCCTTAGCATGAAGCGTGGAAGGTAAATAGCTGTTGGGCTTTCTAACAGCCAATGCAGGCATGCTGAGCCATCTGTTCCTCAGTCCTATGTGCAATCCTGGTACCTCAGACTTGTGTCACTTGTTTGGAAGCACTCTCATGACTAGATAGTCCCAACTGTTAACCACATCTGAGACAACCCCACAGGAGCTGATTTTAGAAGTCATGAAAGGACAGCAAGTTGTTAATCAATGCATGTATCATCACATTTTAATTGCCAGATTAGGAAATTGTGGGATTATCTGCCTTAGAAAACTTAACAAATTCAGCAACTTTGGCTACTGTATACTATTGTACATAAGAGTGGGAGATTTCATGTAATAAAAAGTCTGGGGTTCATCATATGCAAAATTAGTGTGCTGCAGAGAAATCTGGACACTCACTCACTGGTTTGGTAGCTTTGCATCTCTCATTGAACATCAAGAAAACACTCCATTTTCCATTCAAGATGAGAACAAAGTATGGAAAACAGTGATCGGGCAAACCAACGTGTTCTACCAGCAGGCATAAACCAATCACTCTGCAACATGAGCAATGCAGCTTAATGGTATAATGTTAGAAAATGTTGAACATTTCTACTACCTAGATAGTCATCTCTCCACAAAAGTCAACATTGATGCTGAAATACAACATTGGCTGAGCTCTGTGAGTGCATTTTTTTAATGAAGCAGTGAGTGTTTTAGGATTGGGACATTTGTAGAGATACTAAAATGCTTGTTTATAAAACTGTTGTCCTTCCAACTCTGCAAAATAATGACATCTACAAATAGCATTCTCGACTTCTGGAAATATTTCATCAGCATTACTTTTAAAGAATCCTGCAAATCTCTTGGGAAGACAGGTGGACGGACTTCAGCATTTTGGAAGCAGCAGAGACCACAGTATTGAAGCGATGATCCTCTGCCATTAAGTTCGCTGGACTGGACACATTGTCTGAATGCCTGATTGCCGTCTTCCATACTTGGTTCTCATCTTGAATGGAAAATGGAGTGTCAGTGGACAACGAAAGAGATTTAAAGATGGGCTTAAAGCTAACATGAAAAAAATGTATAAACACCGAGAACAGGAAAGCCCTGGTCTTCAAGCATTGTACTAGAGGCTAGCTTTTATCAGCAGTGCTTGGATTTTGAAGAGGCATGAATAAAGGGCAAAAGGAAGAAATGTGCCAAGAGGAAGGTGTGTCAAGCAAACCCTTGTTGGGACCACCTTCCATCTGGAAATATATGTCCTCATTGTGAAAGATCATGCAGATCCAGAATAGGTCTCTACAGTCACTTACAGATCCACCACAAAGATTCTATCCTTGGAAGACAATCATACTTGGTCACGATTGATCAGCTACTATGCGTTTTGCATGGCTGAATTTGAGTAAGAGTTGGTTTCAGACAATCCTATTAGTGCTTTTTGAGTCCCTACTGCTCCATGCTTTGTTGATTGTATTGTGCTGTGAGGTGACGAGTTGAGAGACTGACTGCTGATTATATGAAACAGCTATTAAATATAGCTGTAAATAGAAAAGCCAGATAAATGTTGAAATTAACAAGATTCTGTAGTGCAAAACAGCTGGGAAAAGTTGTGGAAATTCTGGAGTTAGGAAAGTTTTTTGGGCTGACAAATTCACAGAATTAGGCTAATTGGGTTAAAACAGCTGTTGCATTTACAACTGTAAATAGTTCAGTGCAATATGAGATGAAGAGCTATTGTAACACATTAAAATGGCAGTACATGTACAAATTCCAGTACTCAATGTAGACCTGGTATTTACACTCATCTGCTTCAACATAATGTTATGCACCAGTGTGCACACAGTGATGTTTTGCTTTAAGGTCAGAAAATGGCAAGTGAACTTCACAAAGTGTTTCATTGATTTTTAAGAACGTCCAGTAAAAATCAATGGGAATATTTGCCTTTAGAATAGAAATGTGTGACTTCCTCCCACTAATGCTCATTTTAAAAATATGCTTACATTCTTTTTTTCTTTTTTTAGAATATCACTAAGTAGCCAATCCTTGCCTACTCTCCTAATTCTCTCTCTCCCCCTCTTGCTCTCAAATATCATTATTATAGCCAACAATTTCAAGACAGTGCACAGTAAAATCAATTTGGAACAGTTCAAAATTAGAATAACTTTAAACGATAAATGGTTTAGTGTTCTTATGATCTTTTAAAAGTATTTTTAAATTTAACAGACAACTTAAAACTGGTAAAAACAACACAAAAGAGCTGGTGTGGTTGAGCATTGGACTAAGGATTGGATGAAGACTAGGATTTAAATCTTTGCTTGACCATCAAAAACCACTGGGTGACCTTGGGCAAGTCATACTCTCTCAGTCTCAGGGGAAGGCAAACACAACCCCTTTTGTACAAATTGGGTTGTATACAAGTTGGAGAATACTTGAGGGCACACAACAACAATACAAAATCATGTAAATCATACTGCATTCTCAAATTGAATGAAATAAATTAAACGTAGAAGTTTTTTAAAAAAACAAATTAAAATACTGTCTAAAGAATGGGTACAAGACAAGGGTGCCCATTATCCCCACTGTTATTCATCTTGGCATTTGAAGTGGTTATTAAAGAAGATAAGGAGGGAAAAAATTAAAGGGCTGAAAATTAAGAATGAAATATTCAGACTAGGAGCATTTGCAGATGATCTAATGCAGGGATCCTTAAACTTTTTAAACAGAGAGCCAGGTCAAAGTCCTTCAAACTGTTGGAGGGCCGGATTATAATTTTTTAAAAAAGAATTAATTCCTATGCAGACTGCACATAAATTATTTGTAGTGCAAAAAAAAAAAAAACCACTTAAAAACAATATAAGAATTAAAATGAACAATTTTAACAAATATAAACTTAGTATTTCAATGGAAAGTGTGGGTCTGCTTTTGGCTGATGAAATAGGGTTGTTGTTGTTGTTGTGTGCTTTCAAGTTGTTTCAGACTGAGGTTGACCCTGAGCGAGGACCGGGTAAATGACCTTGGAGGGCCGTACTCGGGCCTTAGTTTGAGGACCCCTGATCTAATGGTTGTAACAGAAGATCTGATAGAGAATTTACTATATACATTAGAAGAAAAGTCAGGAGAGAATGCTAAGATGGCCATACAGACTGAAAAACTCACAGCAACCCAGTGATTCCTGCCATGAAAGCCTTCAACAACATACATTAGAAGAATTTTGAAAAATAGCAGTTTTTAAAATAAACAAACAAAAAACTAATACATAAATTAAAGTTGTCACTACTGGAAAGAATATCATCTACCAAAATGAATATACTATTTAAAATATTATTTATATTTCTATTATAATGAATGATACAGCTTTTAAACAATGGAAAAAAGGTTTAACCAAATACATATGGCAAAGCAAGAGACCTAGAATTAAAACTAAGATTTTGAATGAAAGTGGAAATGTGAGACTAAAAATTAAAAGGTCATGATTTGTATATTGGATGGTGTGCCTATACATGAAATCAATAAGCAAAAGTACACGCAAACTCCAATCACCATTTTATTGGATGAGCCATACTATGGACATGGAATAAGTAAAAAGTGAAATTATGTCCCAAAACCCCATTATCAATTTCAATGGAAGAGGCATTTTGCAAATTTGATAAGAAGAAAGGAGAAACATAAAATACTACCGAAGATGGAAATGAAACTAGAACTTATAAAGGAATGCATGATTAAATGGACACAAAATGTCAGACACAGCATAGATAAATGGGGGAAAATGTGGACTGTTGGCTTCAAGATTTTTTTTATAAAATGATGAACAAGTGGTACCTGACACCAGCAAAACTTGCTAAAATGTATAAGAGAAGAAACAAAACGTGTTGGAAATGTTAGAAACAAGAAGGAACTTTCTTCCACATGTGGTGGCCCTGTTAAAAAAAGCATGCAAATTATGGGGCAAGGTACAAAAAACACTTCAGGAAATTTTCGAAGCCTGAATTCTTTTTATTGGGAATTCCAAAGAAACAAACAAAATAATTGAACTACGTGATAATTGCAGCACAGATCTATATATGTACAACATTGGAAGACACCAGACCTTCCGACAATACAAGTTTTTAGAATAGTGGGACTGAATAAAAAATGAAAAAAATAAAGCACACAAACAAACTTTATTAAAGACCCGGAGCCATTTATAAATTCTGTAAAAAAAAAAAAAAAAGATAGAGGGAAAGACTTTTTTGTAGGAGGCTTCATAATTTAATCTGTCAGAATCTTTGCATGGAATATATAAATAATAACTATCATGCTAGATGGTACACGACTTTCTCTAACCCAAAGGACGGTAAGTTACTACAATGGGAAGGGTGGAAGGAGGGATTGGCATCATTAAGTACAATCATTGTATATAGCTGTTAGAAAATATTGCACTGGTTTATGTATCTATACATGTATATAGATTTATTTATTCCCCTTCTCTCTTTGCAACTTGAGGTAGAGTACAACATTGTTAAAACATTGAAGTAAAACAAAGCATTATTAAAATACATATAACAAATACACACAGGTAAATGCAGTTTAATAAAGTGCAGATTAAAATTGACAAATTAAATTATACATAAATAATTCCAGTGGCACATCTTATTTTCTCTTCATAACACCAGAGGTCATCTGCAGACCACCCTCTGTGAAGTTCTCTCACTTTCCTTGGCCCACATGGAGTACTCTTCATATATAACACCACATGCACTTCTAGTTGCTATTGTAGCCTGGATTTGGCTTATATCTATCAGGGGTTTTTTCCCCTCTTTTCTTTTGTGTAGCATGGATTGATGTCAAAGTTTGATGCGATATCATTAAGTATTCGTTAAATAGATATTTAAAGGATGCTTTATTATTTTTATGAATAAAAATAAGCAATGCCTATATTGTTGTTAAATTCATATCATGAGGAACAGATTTTATTTGCAAGTTTTCTGTTTGGGAAGTTTTGTTGTACCTAATATTATTGTTGCCTGCCATAGCATTGCACTCAATTCCTGGGCCCTTAGAATTTTTGGGCTTGCACAAATCTTGGCCCAGCCTTTTACATTTTTAACTGCCTTGAACAGGCAGGATTACTTTTAATATATGTGTGTTATGGTGACAATTTTTATGTTTATATTTTGTTGGTTAATCTTATGGTTATGTTGTTTTTACTCTATATGTTTTGTGATATTACTTGGGAACCTCTCTGAGTCCCCTCAGGGAGATGGAGCGGTATATAAATAAAGTTTTACTATTAATAATAATAATAATAATAATTGGAGTACTAAAAACCTGAAAGGTTCAAACCTACTCTATAAATGTATGGCTGATTAAGAATTGGAACACAGATTAGTTAAATTTCCCCGTCACTGAAATAATAACTCACAGTTTTCCAAACTTTATTGCAATGCATTAATGTGTCTGTGGCAGTATGTAAATGCATCGCACAAATTTAACAAGAAATGACAAAAATCTTGGAAATGTAGGTTATCTTAAAAATCATATATTTTTAAATATATAAATGAAAGGGTTTTATGAGATCTATTGTGTCCATATACATTTTGTTACAATTTATGTATGTGTCTTTATCTTATAAGGAGTCAGTTTAATTCTCAGTTTGCTAGGAAAACTGAATTAATGTGTTTCAATATGATGCATGTTCGAAAAGCATGTCACCAACATGAAATATTTGGAAAGCTCTGGTCTACTCCAGGATTGGACATATTTCATGCTGATACTAAAATCATAGGTTTTAACTGTATTTCATATGTCTGCAACTATACTTAAACACTGCTCTGTCATCAAGATTGGCATAAATTTAGCAGTGTCAACATTTGATGTTACAGAATAGCTAGAATGAGAAAGATGTGAATCGCAAACATTAGTTTGAGACAAGCACAGCTGGTGTCTGTAATTCAGATTAATGTCTTCAATTAACACATGCTGCAAGTCAATAAACTAAAGCATACGGGAGGAATCCAAAAGAAAACCTAAGCCTGTAAAAGGAAATATTTATTATAAAGCACTTTGCACAAGGAGAACCCCATTCGAAAGATCATTTACAGTTAAATAAATCTCCATAAACCAAGTGATTAACAGTTTGGGAATCTGTCCAGCATTAAAACCAAAGAAACAAATGTGAAAATAAGGGCAAACACTGTGAAGACGACATATTGACACAGGTCACAATTTATCAATATATCTTTTATTTTAAAAAGTTAGGCAGGTTGGAACCTGGATAACAAAAACTGAACACTGTCTCATGTATTTTTTAAAATTGCTCTTTGAGCAGCCTGTTCAGGCACAGTTTGTTGGATGTAAAAATAGCCAGTCCGAGGAAGATTCACAAATGAGCTGGGGACGTTTCTCCTGCAGAAGAGTAGGTTGAGAGGAGATATGTTCACCATGTTTAAATATTTGAAAGGATGTCCTAAGGAAGAGGGAGCAGGTTTATTTTCTGCTTCCCTGGAAACTAGGGGCCCTTCCACACAGCCCTATATCCCAGAATATCAAGACAGAAAATCCCACTTTATCTGAGTGGACTCAGACAACCCAGTTCAAGACAAATATTGTGGGATTTTCTGCCTTGATATTCTGGAATTTAGGGCGGTCTGGAAGGGCCCTAGGATTCAGTGGAGCAATGGGTTCAAATGACAGGAAAGGAGATTTCGTCTGAACATTAGGAAAAGCTTCCTAACTTTGAGAGCTATTCAGTGGAACTCTGCCTCGGAGTGTTGAAACTCCTTCCTTGGAGGATTTTAACAGATACTAGATGGCCATCTGTCACGGGTACTTTTAGTGCTTTTCCTGCATAGCAGGAGTTTGGACTGAATGACCCTTGTGGTCTCTTCCAACTCTATGATCCTAAATCTGAGTTCACAGTTCCAGTATTCTATTGTTCACATGAGTGAATTGTTTCCATAAATGGTTTCGTTGAACATATAGAATAATCATAGAATAATGGAGTTGGAAGAGACCACACGGCCATCTAGTCCAATCTCCTGCCATGCAGGAAATGATGTGGTTTCTATCTCTTTAAGAACCGATAAAAATTATCGCATTCTCAAGGCCTGCTCAAAGACCTGTGAATTATTTTGTGCAGATTAGCGTAAATATGCCTAGTGCTACTGCTGTGCAGAAATAGTAAGTTATTCCACTCTTTCCCAGATAAAGCTGGCCCTCCTGGACCACAATGCATGACAGAAGCTCCGCTGAAAGTGCACACTCTTGTTCTCCTAAAAATAACTTGGAGGTAATACCTATGTTTGTGGGCCTGCTGAGCCAGTTGAGCCAGATATTTCTACTTCATGGCATCCGAGACTTCAGTTTTCAAGGGTCTAAACCAGTCCACAGATATGGGTTAAAGGAATCCCATTAATATTTTATTCTTCCTTCATAGGGCTCAAAGCGGAAGGGCTGTTTAGAAGATCAGCTAGCTTACAAAGTATTAAAGAAATCCAGAAACTTTATAATCAGGGTAAGTTCTCATTCTGCTTTATGATCACCACTTATTACACATGTGGGAGTTCTGCCCCTTTTTGGACAGAACCTTCTAGGGCAATGGTTCTCAACCTTCCTAATGCTGCGGCCCCTGAATAAAGTTCCTCATGTTGTGGTGACCCCCAATTATAAAATTATTTTTGTTGCTACTTCATAACTGCAATTTTACAACTGTCATGAATCATAATGTAAATATCTGATAGGCAGGATGCATTTTATTTACTGGACCAAATTTGACACAAATACCCGATACGTCCAAATTTGAATACTGGTGGGGTTGGGGGGGGGGTTGATTTTGTCATTTGGGAGTTGTAGTTGCTGCGATTTGTAGTTCACTTACAATCAAAGAGCATTCTGAGCTCCACCAATGATGGAATTGAACCAAACTTCCCACAAAGAACTCCCATGACCAACAGAAAATACAGGCAGTGTTTGGTGGACACTGACCTTGAGTTTTGGAGTCATAGGGATGTGGGGTCATAAGGGTGTTCACCTACATCCAGAGAGTGCTGTGGACTCATTAATGATGGATCTGGACCAAACTTGGCATGAATACTCCATTTGCCCAAATATGAACACTGGTGGAGTTTGGGGAAAATAGACCTTGACATTTGGGAGTTGTAGTTGCTGGGATTTATAGTTCACCTACAATCAAAGAGCATTCTGAACCCCACCAATGAGAGAATTGGGCCAAAATTCCCACACACCTATGACCAACAGAAAATACTATGTTTTCTGATGATTTTTGGCAACCCTTCTGACACCCCTCTCGCGACCCTCTCAGGAGTACCGACCCCCCAGGTTGAGAAACACTGTTCTAGAGAGTGTAGAAAGTCTTCCACCTCCTGAGTTCTTTTGTCTGCTATAGGACAAAGCTATTCAAAGTGGTGGTCCATGGGTCATGCCAGGCTGCAGCCTGTTGGTTGCCCATCCTCAAAAGGCTCCTAAGAAAGAAAGAAACATGTGAAGCCAGTGGGTGCAAATATGATGCTAGTGCATGGGGAAGAGGGATATGCTAGCTTAAGAAGCATGGCTCCAGGAAATCCTCACTAGACTGAGCAAAGTTTCCTTTGATTTATTTTCTCTAATCAATACTTAAAACGAAGCCACAAAATCAAAATACATGTTGTAGTGATACAAGTATGTGGTCAACCAAAAGGTATAAAATCCATGTCATTCGTTTTTGGAGACCCTTGGCTTCTTCATCAAGCAAAATTGGTAAAAATAAAAATCATGCAGAGGAGTATAAGTTGTGATGCTCAAAGATCTTCACTTGCTTAATATGACGTTCGTTTTCAAGCAAATTATGTGGCCTACTTTTGAAAATACACAAAAAGAAAAGAACAAAAGATTTGCACAAAAACTCTATTGGAAACCCCTCTAGGTTTATAGTGGGATGATGATGATGATGATGATGATGATGATGATAATCTTTATTTGTACCCCGCCACATTCTCCCCAATGGGGACTCGGTGCGGCTTACATGAGGCCAAGCCCAAAACAACAATTACGTAAAATAAAACCGAAAACGCAAATAATGAACAACAATAATAGAGTATCCGGAATAGGGTTGTTTGTATGAACATGAATTCATATCCTGCTTGGGAAAAAGTCAACCCACAAAACATTAGTAGTCATTTTAAATATTCTGATGAACGAGTTGCTTACTGTTTAATAAATCCCCATAATGTATTGTCGAAGGCTTTCATGGCCGGAATCACTGGGTTGTTGTAGGTTTTTCCGGGCTATATGGCTATGTTCTGGAGGCAATTTTTCTCCTGACATTTCGCCTGCATCTATGGCAAGCATCCTCAGAGGTAGTGAGGTCTAGCCTGGAAAAACCTACAACAACCCAATCCCCATAATGACTACTGACTTTGTTGACCTTGGACTGGGATTGTGACTTGTGTTTGTTCCTGACTGAATTCTGAAACTCCTTTTGATGACTATGGCAAATTGGATTCAGGATTTTGGCTTTTTCTCATCCTCAACAGTTTGTGTATGTAGGTACCTTAATACGGCTAGTCTGCAAGGATTCTAGCATTCGGGGCTTAATCCTGAATAAACCGGTACTTTCATTCTTCTGTTGCTTCTGAAAGCTATGTTTGGATAATCAGGACTTAGCAAAACATGACAATTGATAATATCTGTTGAAGTTAGTAGATGGGGTGAGTAAAGGCAGCCAGTGCCACATATTTTCATATGTAGAAATTATCAGTGGTATGTTATACATTCATCCAAATTTTCATATTTAGGAAAGCCTGTTAATTTTGATGAATATGGAGATATCCACATTCCTGCAGTCATCCTTAAGACTCTCCTGAGAGAACTTCCTGAGCCTTTACTGTGCTTTTATACCTATGATGAAATCCTTGGAATTACTAGTGAGTATTTTTAGTTACATGGTTCTGTCTCACCTCACATTTTACCAGTAGCCATCTCATTAACCCACATCAAAGTCTAAGTCTGTGTTTCCCATAGGTATCTGTTGGGAGAGCTAAACATGGTATAATACCTCTACAAGACAGGAACTTGTTTTAAAAAAAAAATCTAGATTTTAGTGAGCAATCCTAAAACTGACAACCATTTGCAGATGTGGAGATGGAAGAGACGTGGCTTTAATACATCCAAAAGTTTCAAGGCCATTTTAATAGAACAGAGGTTGTCAGTTAAATCTGCAGAATGTTCTTCTGTATTAGCAAATATTTTAAGCATAATGGAAGCGTAACAAGTCATGATGATTCTGGAGATGAAGGTATCCTAGTTCTCTCTGCTAATGCTCCTCTTTGACTACTAGGAAGAAGTAATATGTTCTTTGTTCTAACAGGTGTGGAAAGTAGCTTACGAGTAACTAGATGCAAAGAAATTGTCCATAGGCTTCCTGAGCAAAATTATGCTGTTCTGAAGTTTCTAATATGTTTTCTCCATATGGTAGGTAGAAATTAAATCCTTGTGGTTATTGCTGCTTAATTCCAAAACTGTCTTGTAACTGAAATTGGTGGCAACATGTTTGTTCTTAAAATTGAAATTAGTTGGTAGAATATTAATCAACAAATTAGCAGTTTCAGATCGCTGCAGCCTAATCAGTGTCAGTGCAAAGTAATAATCTTTGATAATTGTGATATATCCCATCATCATAAATTACAAAAAATATTATGTAAATACAAATGAGGTTAATCCTACAAATTACTTAAAGGGGCATTCACCTCTTTTTTTTCTTTTTAATTTTTTTCCAAAATGGACATTTTGACACTAACAATAACAATGAAAACACAAATCACATTTAATGCACAGCAAGTCATCAAATTTCAAGAGCATCACTTAGATAATTTGGTTAATTCACTCAGATGGTTGTTTAACACAACAGAACAGCTAGATCATGGCATGGATCAATTGTGGATGTGTTGTAGCAATTTCTTCAGATGGTTTTTTAACTTCAAAACTGCCGCAAAGCAACCTAAAAATGCAGTGTCCTTGTGACCTTCCCTAGAGTTCCTGAAACCCTTCTACTCTACTGATTTTAGCAGGCGTGTTTTTAATCAATTGTTTAATTACTGTTTTAATATTTTAATGTATTGTTGATGGTTGATTGCTTTATGAAGTTCAGCATCCTAGAATGCTTTTGTGAGGCCACCTTGAGTCCCCCCTCAAGAGTGAGGAGGGCAGGATAGAAATATAGGAAATAAATAAATAATAAATACTCCTCCAAAAAACAAAAGAAATTCATCTGCCAGAGGAAGAGTCATTTAGAACCTAAGCCCACCAGTGTGACTTGCTGTGTGGATTTGGGGGAAAAATGGCCCCATCCCCTGTATAGTCCATCCCAGGCTACGTTGTTCAGAAATCATTGAGGCAAAACATAACCATGTGCAATTTCAGTACAAACGGAAAAGGCAATATAAGAATAGCAATTTTCAGAGAAGTTTTTTATGCTCATTATTGAATAACATTTTTAAATGACTTGTCCAACTCTATGATTCTAAGATTCTATGTTATTCTCTATGGAAGTTGTGTTGTGCTTGTGTAGGATATCTCCACATGTGGATGTTTAGACTGTTCTGAGGTGAAGCTAGATTGCAAGTTTGCATGATAGTTCATTTGATTGTTTCAATTGCAAGCTGCTTGCAAGAAAAATAACAGTCTTATTAACAGTAGCAAGCAACTATACACATTTTCAAAAAAGATGAATGAGTGTCTGTATAGAAATAAATCATATATTTTGTGTGGTCATGTAGATCAAAATCGTAAATTGCCTGTAGAGAGAGAGAGATACTTGATCAAAAGATATAAACTAAGGTTATATCAGTTGTGTTTTACAATACTGTTATACTACTCTCTACTAGAGCTTTCATTAATCTGTTCCCACCATCGTTTTGGGGCTACAGCTCTCCTTGGTTCCAGGAAAATGGCCAGCAATGGAGGACCATGGGAGCTGAAGTCCAGTATACCTGGATGGCACCATGTTAAAGTAATCTGTGCTTCTGTTTTGTCTGAGTTAGAAAGCTGGGGTTCACAAATATGTACAGATGTACAAAAAATAATCATAATATTGTGGTATTTTGTCCACTCTTGAGCACTTCATGGCTGAGGTGTAACCTTCAAAAACTGTGCAGCATCTCCCCATGCCATGAGGTATATGTATGTAATATGTATTTTGGCAATATCCTCATAACAGTTACAGTAGGGGGTCTGTAATGGAAAAAAAAATCAGCATTTTAGCTGTTTTTAATGTATTTTGGAATGCTTGGTTTAAAAACAAACAGGGCTTTAGTACAGCAGATTAATCACCAGCTGCTTCAGTAAATCTTGCCAAACGAAAGGTTGACAATTCAAAGCCTGGTCAGGGTAAGCTCCTGACCTTTGGCCCAGCTCCCCCGCCCACCTAGAGGATTGAAAATAGCAATGTGAATAAATGAATAAGAACCACATTAAGCAGGAAGGTATTTTAAGCACAGCGTTTCGGAGGAAAGTTTACAAACAAACAAAGCTTTTTGACAAGGAGATGGAGCAATAGCACCCCCTGTGGCCAGAACCGAGCACAGCCTCCAAAAGATGCCAAATGATGAGAAAAAGCCTAAATATACCTCTATCTGTAATCTGTCTTGTCATTGTATAATTGGTACTGAATCTTTGTCGTATATGTGTTCTGTGATCCACCCTTAGTCTCCTTCAGGGTGAGAAGGGCAGAATATAAGTACTCTTTAAGTTTCACAAATCCTTTCACAAATTAGATATAACTGCTACTCAGTTGTAAGCATGGCTGCTGGTGTTCTGGTGTGACTTTTTAGTGCTTGTGGATGGATTTATATCATTCATATCAATGAATTAAAATTTTTGAAAGTCTGTTAAAAGACTTAAACCATTTCTTTTTGTTATCTCTTCTCAAAGAAAGTGTGCCCGATAACAATATTACAAAATTAAAATGTCCAACCAAGTGTGGAGAAAAACCAGTTAGAGATACAGCAAATCTGAGCTCATTTTTGGATTTGGGATGCCAAAATTCTATAAAACCAGCATTCATTAAAAAAAATGTTTTTATGACCCTCAGTTTGGCAGGCCTGTATATTCAAGCTCCATCAGTAAAACTGTTTCTCTGTTTTGGTAAGATAAAAGCAGTATATTTTAAAAAACTTATTATTTCATCTGGTCTATAGGCCATTCTATATGATGATGGAGCAGATTAATTTCTGGTGTGATTCATTCAAGCAGTTCTTAATTTTTGCCCCCCTTTCTCTAAAAGTATAAGTGCTTTTGTTTACACAATGCTCTGGATGCATCAGATAGCATCGCTGTCATTGCTTGATCTATCTCAGCAAGCTATTTCCAAATCCTCATCTCATTTACTATTATTTAGCTTCAAATATCTCTTCAACATTATAGATGTAAGGGCCTTTTATGTCCACTGCTTTGGTCTACTTCTTCACAGCTGAGAAACTTCTAGGTTTTAATGAATGATACAGACGTGCTTGGTGCCGTCTCTTTTAATTTGGTAATAGAACTTAGAATTGCTTCTGAATGTGTAAAGTGCAGACATTAGTTGATTTCAGCACTCAGGTCTGAAGCTACTGCTGATTTGTCTTCTAATGTTCAGTGGCTAAAGGAGAATTTCACATTTGGAAAGGTCAAGGTAATCTGAAAAGTCCTGGGAGGAAAGCTAAAGAATTTCCAGTTAGCATACATAAAGGTCTGTTGTTTAACCTATTTATTTATTTATTTGGCATTAAAGAGCTGGCAATGGTCCACCACAGCATTATTTTCTCTTAGGACTTCATCCCGCACAATAAGTAAATAGCTGGGGACCGTTGCTTTTCTCTTAAGCTTTGCAACACCCCGTTTGGAAATTAAACAAATGATTTTCCAACCCCCATCTCATGTTTTCCTTTGTTCAACTTTCTTTTCCAATTTATTTGTTTGCTTCCCCATCACATGGGAGACATTCTCCTCCCACTGTCTCCTCCCCATTTTCTTTTACTTGAAGAAATCCTCTGTGTTTGTTCTCGCAGAACGCGAGATCATTAAATATGATTTCTTCTATAGCATTCTATAATTTATAAGTACAGATTCCTCTCAAATCAATAGGTAACTCTATTGAATTTACATCATTAAAAAAGATATAAATTACTGTCCCTTCCTCCTCGGTTCTAAAGATTATGGCAGAAGAAAGGATTCTTTAGTGCCGATCTTGGCTCCTCCCTCCAGAGCGATGTAAACATTATCCTTACAAGTGATGTTAAATTTCAGGTTTTTACACATCTCTCAGTGTGGAATAAAAAAGAAGTTGATTGCTAATTGACTTAAGTGTAGGAAAAAAACACACTTTAGAAATGGCGAAATACCTGGAATCCATGGTACAAGCCTGCATCATGTGATGGGCTCCGTCAGTAGCTTAAATGTGTAAAATGCTAATTCAATTGTGTGTGATCACATCCCTAAGCAGGGCTCTTGGGAAATTGGAGACTGTCAAGAAGGGCTCTGTAACTACAGTGAACTCTAGGAGGAATGCCTCTTTATAGTGAATGCATATCATACAAGTCTTTCTTGTAATTTTCTTTCCTGGTAAGACTTTTTGCTTTTTCAAGCCTTCTGCACTGTATTCAGTCCCAAGAAAGCTGAAATGCAGGTGAAGGAAAGACAGGACACTATAGCTTTGTGCGGGCTGTTCACGTGATAGCTAAGATGGGGAAGTGTTCTGTCGCCACTGGGCCTGTACACAATGTCTTTATTCTACAGGACACACACTTTAAACCCAGTGGGAAGCCGGGGTGCCCGAAGAGAGATTGTTAGAGACTTCCAGAAGTAATGGGCTTTAGAGTCTTTAAAAGTACAACAAAGTCTTTATTAAGGAACAAATCTTCAAACAAAACTTCAAGGCTTTACTATTCAAGTCTTTAAGAGACTGGCACTAACTTGGTTTGACTGTACTATCTCAGCATAAGGAAGAACTCTTTATAATCCCTCCCAGGCCGCTTTCTATCTATGCCTAGTCAGCGTGGGTGCTGCTACCAAAATCCATGTGCATCTGGGTATCGAGCAGACCTTACCGGCTGAGGCTTGAAGATATAGCAGCTGGAGTTCCGTTGTTCTGTAATGCTGAACTGTGGAAACTTCAGGGCTGTTTTCCCCCTCTGGTGCTGTGAGGCTGAGAGGCCGTGAGCTCTCAGCCAGAGCCTTTGGGACCTTTTCCTTCCYTTTCCCTGGAACTGGATAGTCAGTTTGGACCCTGGATGGTCTGTTTCTATTTCCCCAGATGGCTTTGAGGAATGAAGCCTTTCCTACGGGACAAACTGATATGCGTCCTATAGGCTGGCTTCCTTGTGTGACTGCCTGAAAAATGGCCCCTTCCCTCCAAAAAACCCAGAGAGGGGRGGGACCAGGGATCCTAACTATTATTGACAGGTGGCTTGCCCTATGAATGCAGCCAAAGGAAGCCACCTATCTGCAAAGTCCCTGCAACTTAGGACTATGAACAAACACTAAGTGCAAAACACAAAATTGGAGCCCCTGGAACAGCCGTTCCAAAACAGGAAGGATGTATATAAATGCRATTGTATATATATTTTATATATTTATATATATYTATTCCATCCATTGCTCTGTGTTACCTTGTTTGGAGAGAAGGTCTTAAGGAYGCTTTGGGGTCTGCAATAGCTTGCTACTCCTTCTTTTAACTCTGGCTATATTGGTAACTATTGTGTATATTTTTAACTAATGAAGCTTATATGTTTTACACATTTCACAATCATAGCACAGTATGCAATTTGTGTGCTATGTTGGTGAAATGTGTAATAGACAATATACTTTCTTAAAATATAATATATCCTATGATGTATTATGTAATATATACATGTGTAATATATCCTATGAAATGTGTAATAGACAATATACTTTCTTAAAAGAAATTAATATAATAATAATAATAATAATAATAATAATAATAATAATATAATAATAATTATTATTATTAAAAAAAACTTTATTTATACCCCGCTCCATCTCCCCCAGGGGGACTCGGTGCGGCTTACATGAGGCCACACCCATCAATACAGTACACACAATATAACACAAAAACATAGTAGAACCAAACAACAAAGTAAAAAATAAAAAATTCATAAAATGCAAAACCAATATAATAAGCGACACAACAATATAAAATCAAGCATTAAAAACACAGAAGATTTCACTGGGCAGGGCCAAATTCAAGGATAAAATTTTAAAACACTGGGAAATAGGACAATGTAAATTATAAGGAGGAGGATCCGGGAATGGGGAAGGATTTAATTGCACAAACCATAAAATAAAGTGCTTCTAAGGACATTTTGTGCAAAGTTTGGTCAGGGAGTATCTTACATTCAATCACTGAAGGCACATTGGAATATAATTATAATATAATATAATTTCTTAAAACTAAAAAATCAGTCTGATAACAAAATATGATTTGCATATTTTTTTTAACAAATCCATGAGTTCAGAACATTACAGAGGTTCTTAATCTCTACTTTGCCGAAACCGCACGAATGATGCCATATTTTGTTTAGCCCTTGGGTGATTACTTCCCTCATTTTGTATTTTAAGAAGTTCACTAAGACTTTTTCTTTTCAGGAATGCTTTTATGATTAGCCTCCCTTTCTGCCCCAGTTTACGGTTTTTGTGCTTTATGCTGCTGCTGCTGCCTCTTAATCCCAATGAACACTTTAGATTTTATTGTGTTGTGTGTTTCTTCTTATTTTATTGTAAGCCATATTGCAGGAAGCAGGGTGTACGTATAATTTGATTTTTGAAGTGTGATAGTTTAGCTTTTAGCGTGAGGTTTTGAAATACTGATCTCCGTGTCTTTCCTTTTCTAGGTGTCACAAGAAAGCATTTTCAACAAAATGACTGGTTCCAACCTTGCCTGTGTCTTTGGCTTGAATCTGATCTGGTCCTCCAAAGATGCTCCTTCCTTTATTTCTTTAGTACCTATAAATCTTTTTGTTACATTATTGATAGACTTCTATCCCACAATATTTGATTCTCGAGTTGTGCCTGGTGAAGAGATACCTTGAACATAAAATGAAAGGGAATTGACATTTGGTCTTTCAGCCCATTGGCTCCTTCCCAGTTCTTCCATCTGAGATCCCTTTGGAGATGCTTGAGACAACCTGGGGCCTCTTTAGGGCAAGACTCATTCTTCTCCTGTATGGTGTTTTCCTAATCAAATGTTAGATGTAAAATTGGTGACTTGGAGCAGGGCTCTCTCAAACTAGCTTTACTAGTTTATATTTTCCTTGAAGCTGGAAAAAAAAATATATCAAAAGAGGTTGAATGTAGTAGAGGTTGCTATGCTTCTATGATTAGCTGTTTTGTTACTGTAATCATAGTAATTATTTATTGTTTATTTTTATCATCTGCAATTCTTGTTTTGTACTTTTTGACGCCGGAAAGAACTGCAGGGTGGACTCTGTGGATTGCAGCTTTTGATTTTAGCCAGAAAAATCCAGGAATTATTAATTTAGCCAGACAATGTGGTTCATGATGATGATGTATTTCTGTGTTATGGGTATGTGTCATGTAATGATTTAAGAATTGTTCATTTCTGCAAGGGAGAAGGAGTATTTTCAAGAATTTTCTCCCTTCTGCCTCACATTTTCAAAAATTAAACCCACCTTAGCAAAGTTTGATGGGGAGAGCAGCCAAGGATTTGGTTGACTACAGGCTTCCTGTTCTCTTCACTTACCTGATGTGACATCGGTGGGGAAACAATTGAACATCTGGAAGGTTGTATCCTTTTCTGTCATAAACGTCTTCATGCAACTTTGTGGGAGAAAGGCAGCCATTGATCGGGGGACTGTAGTGTGCCAAGATTCTTTCCTGGCTCATCTGCTCTCTACATAATATTGAAGTGAATCAATTTGAGTCATTTCAGTTTAACTGATTTTAAACATATACTTAAATTTTTTTTCTTAAATTGAGACGATCACAAAATATACACATTGAGATGGCAGTTCTTTCACTCTCTAATCCACATCATTGAATTTGTTGTTAAATGCTGTTAAAACAACATTGATTAATGGCAACCCTATGAATAATAGAACTTCAAGACACTGCTATGAACAGCCATGCTTGGGTCTTGCAATGTCAGAGCTATGGGTTCCTTAATTGAGTTAATCCACTTGTAATTATGAGGGAATTATTGAGGTAATAAACTGAAAAATAGTATAAAAATAATAAAATTCAAAACAATGTGATTCAACTGCAGCATTACAATAAAAAGTGCATTCATGTGAAAGAGAGCAATAGAGAACATACACCTGTAAACACTGTAGTCTATAGAAAGGAAGTTTGGAATGCTACTACTAATACTACTACGAAGGCTGAACAGCCATCTTTTGGGGGTGCTTTGTGCTTTTCTTGCATGGCAGAAGAGAATTGAACTGGATGCCCCCTGGGATTTTGCTATTATGTTGTTGGTGGTGATGGTGATGGTGATGATGATGACAAAGGCTGGATGGCCATCTTTTCCTGTTTGGCAGAAGGGGGTTGGACTGGATAGTCCCTGGGGTTGTTTTGATGATGATGATGATGATGATGATGATGATGATGATGATGATGATGATTACAAAGACTGGAGGGCCATCTTTTCCTACATGGCAGAAGGGGGTTGGACTGGATAGTCCCTGGGGTTGTTTTGATGATGATGGTGATGATGATGATGATGATTGCAAAGGCTGGATGGCCATCTATTGGGGGTGCTTTGATTGTGCTTTTCTTGCATAGCAGAAGAGGGTTAGACTGGATGATCTTCCACTGAAATACTATTAAGTTTATGTTGGTCAAAGTTTGCCTATGCCTGATATATTATATTATATTATATTATATATAACATAATATATAAACATTTCTTGTGGCTCCACGAGTAATTTGCTTCAAAAAGGTCTCCATGGCTGAAAAAGTTGAGAACCCCTGTTCTAGATTATGAACAGGACATCTTTTACTGTTGACTTATGGTGACTGTAAAAATCATAAAGTTTTCTTAGACCAGGAAAACTTGTCAGTTTCTTCTTACAGCTTCTCGTATTCATTGGTGGCCTCTGATCCAAATACTGACCAGGCCTGTTTAGCTTCTGAAGTCAAACAAAATGTGGTGCATTTGGTGCATTTATCCTGGACTCCTCTTACTCGGGGCACAAAAAGACATAGCTATCAATATGGTATGACACCCTAAGTACTTGCAGCAACTTTGTAGCCGGAGTTACTTTGGAACAAAAACCAAATTGTTCAAATGTAATCTCAAAAAGCCTTAAAATGTCTCAGGATGTTGGTCTGTTTTATGTAAAGACTAAATTGGCCCCTTGTTTTGAATTGAATGTACTCTGTGTTCTTTCATTGGTTTTGGACAAGCAAAACTCTTTATCCTAGGTACAACGTGGAGATAATAATTTTATGTAATATACCAGACTCTAGACAAAAGTTACTGAATTTCTCATCTTCAAAAGGAAGTTGTGTTTGTGTCATTTTTACTGCAACATTCTTGTGCCATAATAAATCAGTCTTTAAGGCACCAATATGACTCTTGGTTGTGAAGATATATGTGAAGTGCTAAGCCAATACTAGAATTTGGAATATGTGGCCCACCCATTGTCATCTCTATCGTGATTGTGTCTATTGGAATTTTTATTTTATTTTATTATTACTATTATTATTATTTTATTATTTTAATGTCATTTTGATAATGTTGTTGTTGTCTGATGTATATGCTTTGATTTTATTGCTGTATTATGTTGTCCGGGCTTGGCCCCATGTAAGCCGCTCCGAGTCCCCATCGGGGAGATGGTGGCGGGGTAGAAATAAAGATTATTATTATTATTATTATTATTATTAACTGCTGAATATTATTTACTCTTAAAAGTACATAGTGCAATAAAATCATTTATTATAGTGAGTTAGCAATCATACGTTTCATGGCAAATTCAGAATTCCCTCTGTATGAAATGGCATAGCTGGTGGGACTACTGACCAGTGCAGAGGCCAGAAAACACATGCCATCAATGTTCACTGCAGCACGGATTAAAGGGTATACTGCATGTCAAAGAAAATCACAGTGAAGTCTGAGTTAAACCCTTTAATATCCTTCAGCAATTTCCAATATATCCATGAAGAAATCAGCTTTGCAGAATGTGGAGCACATTGTAGACACCCACCTTCATTGAAACGCTTGCTAGAATTCAGAATCTGGGGCAAAAGGGCTGTCAGAAAGAGCAACGCTGGCTAGCAGGGGGCTGGCTAATTGACCCCCTGGGAGGTGGAATGGATAGCCTCCACTCCTGTTACCCCCTTTTCCTAACTTCCTATTCCCCTGGAGCACTGGTATGAACCCCCCCCCCCCCCCCCCCCCGGAAATGGGGGAAAAACTCACAGAGATTTGAGCCAGGTTCTATAGTGAATACAGTCACCTTCCTGGTCTCAACACCAGTTCAAAACCTTCCTCAAAATTCATTTTACAGAATTTGCATCTGTATTGCCCTGCCTTTCCCCCTGCCCCCCAAGTGGATGTAGCCTAAGAGTACTGTTTCCTGGTAGCACATGCCAGAGCTAACTGTGACATTAAATCAAGCCTCATGAATTATTCAGGAGGGTTTATAGCAAAATTCCTGTGTGCGAAATATATGTTTCAAATTTCCCCGGCTCCAAGAGAAGTCCTGGAGATGTCTCCCGCAGTTACTTTGATAACAGTTTCTCTTTATAAATGATAATTGCACAATTCTAGCTTTTGTGCAGCTTGGCCTCAGCGAACTCATTCCTGGTTATCAAAGAGCAATTTTCAGATCATTTCCATTGCAGAAATGGAAGTGATTACCAGAGATAATCTGCTGGAAACACACATGCTGCAGTTGGGCTTAAGACAATAAAAAAGTGGAATCATAAAATGCAAAATCAAAGCTTTGCTGGTAATTTTAGTGATAGGCAGAGGATAAAGTGGGGTAAACATTGCTGTTTAGTTGAACCACTGGGGCTTTAAAATTGTTTATAAGATTTGTCTGATCCTTCGTTGCCTCCAGCAAAAATCAATAAAATGGCATACTTTTACTGTTCTGGATCTCAGAAGGCGAACAAAGGACACTCTGTACAGTTAGAGAAGGCTAAAAACCAGGCTTATGGTGCCGTACTTTCTGCCTTTTCATATTGTGTGCACAAACAGAATATGACTAATACATTTTGAGAAAATCTAATAAATTTATTGCAGTGGAAACTACAAAGAATTTCTTTGCAGCTCAAAGACTTAATGTATTATGTGACATAGGCTTTTGTAGAATCTACCACATTGGATCTGATGTACATATGAAGGGATTTAGACAGTTAGTTTGATGTGTGTGTATGATTACGAATCGGCAGTGGTGGTTGTTTGGTTGTTGTGGTAGAACAACCACCTGGAAAAAACCCCAAATGAATAGACCCCCATATAAAATTGTAACAGTAAATGTAAGAACAAAATGTGACTGTCCGTTACTAAAATTCTAAATCCACTTTCCTAAGGAGTAACCTTCGTGAGCCTAATGAGAATTAGAATCTTAGTAAACATATCAAATCAGTCTATAAAAACCTGAAAGTTTAAGCCACAAAGAGATGCTTATACATTATACATGTTGAGCATCCCTTATCCAAAGTTCTTGGGACCAGAAATGTTTTGGATTTTAGATTTATTTTTGGATTTGGAATATCTGTATTTGTATATGCATACATATCTTGGGGATTATACCCAAATCTAAACATAGAATTCATTTTCTTTCATATATGCCTTATTTGCCTGGAGAACAAGCCCTATGAGGAGCGGCTTAAAGAGCTAGGCATGTTTAGCCTGAGGAAGAGAAGGCTGAAAGGAGACATGATAGCCATGTATAAATATGTGAGAGGAAGTCACAGACAGAGGCGGCCCTAGGTAATTTTCAACGGTAAGCAAACAGTATTTTGGAGCCCCCCCCCCCAACCAATCACTGATATATATTTTCTGTTCGTCATGGGAGTTCTGTGTGCCATATTTGGTTCAATTCCATCATTGGTGGAGTTCAGAATGCTCTTTGATTTTAGGTGAACTATACATCCCAGTAACTACAACTCGCATATGTCAAGGTCTATTTTCCCCCAAGAGCACCTCAAGAGTGGCCCTGGGCAAAATCAACTATACTGCAAAGGCTTACTTTGCTTAATGGTTGAGCCGCCCCTGGTCACAGACAGGAGGGAACAAGCTTGTTTTCTGCTGCCCTGGAGACTAGGATGCAATGGAACAATGGCTTCAAACTACAAGAAAGGAGATTCCATCTGAACATTAGAACTTCCTGACTGTGAGAGCTGTTCAGCAGTGGAACTCTCTGCCCCAGGAGTGTGGTGGAGGCTCCTTCTTTGGAAGCTTTTAAACAGAGGCTGGATGGCCATCTGTCGGGGTGCTTTGAATGCAATTTTCCTGCTTCTTGGCAGGGGGTTGGACTGGATGGCCAATGAGGTCTCTTCCAACTCTGATTCTATATGCATAGCCTGAAGGCAATTTTATACAGTATTTTAAAAACATTTATACATCGTGCCCACTGAACTATCAGAAAGCAAAGGTGTCACTAACTCAACCTCCCATGTGGACACTTTGGGATTTTGGAGTATTTTGAATAATAATAATAATAATAATAATAATACTTTATACCCTGCCACCATCTCCACAAGGGGACTCGGGGCGGCTTATATGAGGCCAAGCCCAGCAGTACAACAATGCCAATGTACAACATAAGAATTCAACAATAAAATACAAAAAATATATACAATACAAAAACATTATAAATAAACACATCAGACCATATAAAATCACAATATTAGAAATCAGAGAATTAATCATAGTGGGCAGGGCCGGTTGCATGGATTAAAAGTTTAAAAGTTTTGGATTTTAGATTTATTTTTGAATATGGAATGCCTGTAT